GACTAAATATCTATTAGAGGGACTGGGATACAAAAACATGTTTATAAAGAGAGAGACGATTAATGAGTTAATTAATAAATAAATTAATACTATAATTATATAATAGAACATAATGGACTATTGTCCCTCCCTCCTTTCTCTCTCTCTCTCTCTCTCTCTCTCTCTCCCTCTCTCTCCCTCCCTCCCTCCCTCTCCCTCTCTCTCTCTCCCACCCTCTCTCTCCCTCCCTCCCTCTCTCTCTTACTTGGGTGATTCTTGATCTGCTTCTCCTAAACACAGCTGGAGTAAGTCAATAAATTTTTGAGGAAAAGTTGCAAAATCTACCAAAAGACCCTGCTGTGCCTTGAGCCTTAAAAATTTAAGAAATAAAAATGCTAAAATATCTTTAAATGAAACTCACTGTTGGAAGTCGTCCTCATTAATAGTCAAAGTATATAAAAAGAATGGATCCTTTTCATCTGTCAAACGAACAATTAATTCCTAAAAATACAAATGTATAATGATTAAAATAATAAATAAGTTAATAGTCTCCACCCTTTTGATACCTGCATCGTATCAGATAAAAAAGTTCGTAGAAATTAGTACTATTAATAAGTTAGTTAACTTCTAATGTTCTCTACCTTTTTGCTGATTGGACTTGTAATAGTATTAAAAAGAATTGTAATGCCTACGTTTGATTGGCTAAAAAAAAGAGAAAAAGAAGCATGTTTAGGAGTAGATAAATTCTTAAATACCATTCCTCTCTGTCTCCTTTCTTCACTGTCACTGGTAAGGGTTTCTCAAAAAGAACCTCCATATTTAACTTCCCGCCTTTTTAGTTATTAAAATTATTAAAAGTGGCACACTAGTTATTAATAGTTATTAAGAAAATTATTATAAAATGGAAGCTAGAAGAAAGCAAGAGTCCATTCTACTATTGCTAGCTCTAAAAAATGCTGCCTTTAGGCTCAAATACATTAAACTCAGGTTTACTACTTTTAAAGGCAGTTGCTTTCTGCCTTGTTATACAATGTGTGAAGACACAGGATCGACCCAGTGACGGAACAATCCGTTTACAAGGCACACTACCCTATCAAGGGAGACTAGAGGTCTACTACAGAGGCTCCTGGGGCACTGTTTGTGATGATCGATTCCAGAAACCAGACGCAGACGTTGTTTGCAGAGAGCTTGGATTCAGCGGCGGGTCCGATCGTGTCATAACAACTGGGTTCAGCAACGAGTTTGCTTCAGGTACAGGCGAGATATGGATGGACGGCGTAAGCTGCAGAGGCTCTGAAGAGAAGCTCAGCCAATGTTCCTTCAATGGCTGGGGGATACACGACTGCAGGCATTACGAGGACGTTGCAATCATATGCAAATATACTGCACCGACTCTACCTCCATCTACATCACTACCTACTCTCTCAGATAACAATGTAAGAGTGACCTGCCCTGGTCCTAACTATCGTCTAGGAGAATGCAATAACTGCAGTACTTATACATCTGCTTGCCGTGCACCTGATCCAAGACGCCCCGCTATTATCGGAGTTGTCGAAATGCTAATAGATGGCAAATGGTATCCGATCCCTCGCAAAAATTGGAACGTTAATGCAGCCAAGGTGGTTTGTGGCCAGCTTGGTTATCCAAGGGCCGGTCCTTCCCCAAATATCAATCGTATCTTTCCAACCAAATCATGCAGCAATAGTCACACCTCGGCTCAATGCGACTCCATTAATGATTTCAACGATCGACTCTCTCGGACTGTAACTGAAGGACTCACTTGCACAGGAGGAGAGAATAAGTTAAATGACTGTTACTTCCAGTCGTATAACATCAATCCTTCTTCTCCGGCGAGTGTTGCTACTGTTCAATGCTATTTCGATGATTTGAGGACAGAGAAATGCAAAGATCGGAATCAAAACAACAAAGAAGTAAGAAAATAATGATAAAATAATAATTTTATTATTTTTAATGTGAATGTGTGGTAAACATCAGGTAGTCAAAATCAATTTAGCAGTTCTTTTATTAAATAATGTATATTTAGTCTATCGCCATTTTGTTACTTATATTTTCATTTGCACTTTTGCAGCTGTATAGGCTTCGCGGTGGCCCAGTGCCTTGGAAGGGACGAGTAGAGGTGAAGGTAGGAGGAGTCTGGGGCTCTATCTGTGACCTTTTCTGGGATCTTAACGATGCTGACATTGTCTGTCGTAATCTTGGATTTGGAACTGCAAAGAAAGTGGAAACTCGCTCGTTTTACGGGCGAGCTTCAGACTCTGTTCATTTTAGTGGATTGAAGTAAGATTGATTATTAAAATTAAATTTTTAAATTTATTTCAATTTTATTGATAGATGCACAGGCACAGAGCAAATGCTGTCACAGTGTACTAGGACTACAGGGGCACAGCTTCCTAGGGAAATTAACTCTTATTGCTACCAGCACTCCGGTGATGCCGCCGTTGAGTGCAATATACCCCAATTTTGTCCTAAAGAGAAAGAAGTGTGTTACTAAAAATAGAAAAAAACATTACTCTTCATGTTACCATAAATAGAATAATATTATAAATAGATATATTGTGCTAGTAATCATGGTTTTATTTCTTATTAATTTCATAGGTCCGATTCACAGGTACTGGTGTTGATAAATTCACTGAAGTGAAGGGTCCATCCGGTTGGGGCAGACTCTGCTTTAGCAGCATCTCCACTTACAACGAGGCCCACGTGATGTGTCGGGAAGTCTCGGATGAGTTGGCAGCACGCTACATACCAATAAAGGACCCTCAATACAGGGGAAGGTCTTATGTTGTAGAGTTTAAATGCACTGGAGACGAGATAAGCACTTCGGAATGTAGGAGAACATTTAGAACCAGCTCTTGCATTAATTACACAAGGATAGACTGCACTGCTGGTAAGATTAACAAATAAATATTATTTATTTATTTATTTTTATTTATTTATATTTTATTTTATTTTTATTTATTTTATTTTTTTGTTATTTATTTTTCTATGCATAGGCATGCCTGATTTGGTTCCTAATTTAAAAAAGTTCCAGTCTTCTCTCGAGAGCTTTGCCTACACGTCTCCTACTCCAATGTTCTACCTCTCGTGTGCCTTGGAAGAAAATTGTCTCTCGTCCAGTGCTCACCAGCACGCTAATAATCCTTCTCATATCCGCAGACTCCTCCGTTTCGATAGTCTGACGATGAACTACGGTACAGCAACTTTCTTGCCGAACCTTGAGCCTCATGAATGGGAGTGGCACGCCTGTCATCAACACTATCACTCATTTGAGGCCTTTATTCATTACGATGTACTAAACAGAGCTGGAGAGAAGGTCGCGGAGGGTCACAAGGCTAGCTTTTGTCTCGAAGACAGCATGTGTGATTTTGGCGGCTACAGTAGCTATCGCTGTTCGACTGGGAGGCAAGGTATCTCTGTTAACTGTGGGGATTTGTACGCACGTCATCTCGACTGTCAGTGGATCGATATTACTGATCTACCTATAAATAGGAATTATATTGTGAGACAGATTGTGAATGCAGATAATTTAGTTGGCGAGAGCGATAGTAAAAATAACGTTATTCAGTGCGAGATTTTCTTCAGAGGTGATAGCTTTCCTTTTATTGTGAGCAACTGCACACATTCAGGTTAGTTATAATGACATTTTATTATTAATAATTATGCTCTTTCTCTCTTTCTTTTTTTTTGCAGACCACTAAAGAAAAAACTTTTAAATAATAATTGTTATTATTATCATTCTTCAGTTTGCATGCGTCATTAGTATTTTAGTGTTAGCATAGTCGACTCTAAGCTGCAGAATATTGTTCTAAAAAATAATTATTATTTAATATTTTATTTTGTATTATGTTTTATAATTTGTGATGTGCTAATTAACCACAAGTTTATAAGTTTGATTAATAATATTTTTAGCCGGCTAAGCCTGCGCCATGTAGCACACAATAAAGCCTCCAGAGTCTAGACGTTAAACCAGCAACAACTTAATAAAAGACCAATGATTATAACATCACTCACCTAATAAGGACTATGCTGTGCTTCCAGTTTCTATTCTTTTTGATTCTTAGCTCTTTGGTTGTGAATGGACAGAAACCCGGGGACGTAAGACTGGTCGGTTCCACCTTGCCTTTTGAAGGAAGGCTGGAAGTGTTCTTTTTTGGTGCTTGGGGAACGGTTTGCGATGACAGGTTCACCATAGTAGATGGTGCTGTAGCCTGCAGACAGCTAGGCTATAATGACGGAGCGGAGAGAACCGAGACGACGGGGCTTGCAAGTTCACGTTTCAGTCCAGGGACAGGAGATATACTAATGGACGGCCTGGAATGCAAGGGAGACGAGAAAAAATTAGGGGACTGTCCTTTTAATGGTTGGGGACTGAACGACTGTGTGCATTATGAAGACGTCGCAGTTATTTGCAAATTCTCAAAACCGAGTCTTCCAAAACCAAACGTTACCTCAGTTCGAATAGCCTGCCCAGAATCTGACTACGGCCTAGGTACATGCATAAATACATGTAGCCTTCCGTCGACTACATGCAATAACGAAACAGAAGTAGCACAGATTGGTATCGTTGAGAGACTGGTCAATAATTCTTGGTATCCCATACCAAGTAGTGACTGGGACCAAGCATCAGCTCAAGTGGTTTGCAACCAATTGGGGTATCCTAGAGCTGGACCAATACCGAGCATTGATGAGATTTTCCCACGGAGAAGATGTGGTCGGCCACGTAATGCAGCTCGCTGTGCAGCAATAAGAAATTTCAATGATCGCTTGTCAAAGACAGTTACTGAAGGGTTGGCTTGCATTGGGAGTGAGACTTCTATCGATGATTGTATAATTACATCTTATGCTGTGAAGCAGTCATCAGCTCTTAATGTGGCTACAATACAGTGCCTTCATGATTCCACTAGGATTGCCGATTGTGAGAATTACAACTACACTAATAGCAGTAGAGAGGTAAGGCTTTTTGTGTTCAGTTAAAAATGTAAACATGAATATATTATATTACAAACGTTATTGATATCAGCTGGGAGTGGAGCTACTATTAGCTCAAGGTATTAATTACAAATTAGAGCCTTGTCTATAGCAGTGAGCCACGCCCAAATACATACGAAACTATTGTGATCTTTAGCAATCACTTTATTTTTTTGCAGCTGTATAGGCTTCGCGGTGGTCCAGTCCCTTGGAAAGGACGGGTAGAGGTGAAGGTAGGAGGGGTCTGGGGCTCAATTTGTGATCTTAGTTGGGACGTTAAGGATGCTAACGTTGTCTGTCGTAATCTTGGTTTCGGCTATGCTGAAGCTGTGTTCACTCGCTCACAATTTGGACGAAGTTCAGCCACTACCCACTTTAGTGGACTAAGGTGAACAAAACTTATCATCATCATCATTATCATTATTATTATTATTATTGTTATTATTATTATTATTATTATTATTATTATTATTATTATTATTATTATTATTATTATTATTATTATTATTATTATTATTATTATTATTATTGTTATTATTATTATTATTATTATTATTATTATTATTATTATTATTATTATTTCAAATTTTGCAATTTCCAGGTGTAATGGGAATGAGGATATCTTATCAGACTGCTCTAGTAATACTGGTGGTTTACTTCGGCGTGATGCTCACAGCTATTGTGTATTTCACTCTGGAGATGTAGGAGTGGAATGTGGCATGCCAGCCTGCAATAAAGAGCCTGAGGTAGAACAAGAGTACTACTGAGGGGTCCGACACAGGTTCAAATTCCGGAGAGTGTCGGACCCCTCGAGTACTACTGTGCATGCAATAAACAATAACAAATAATGATAAAATCCATATAATTACTTCTATCGTTATTTTTTAGGTTCGTTTTGCTACTACTGGGTCTGAGACTATGATTGAAGTTAACGGCCCCCTTGGCTGGGGCCGGTTGTGCTTTGATAATAAATTGAAGTACACGGAGGCCCACGTCTTGTGTCGGGACATATCTGGGGAGTTGGCAGCAAGTTTTGGACCAATAACGGACTTGTCGTATCTTGGTCTTTCCTATTCAGCTCAATATAACTGCACGGGAGATGAGCTTCACTCGTCAGAATGCAGGGAAAGTATTACAAGGACTTTTTGTTTTGATTATACGAGTATTGAATGTGCTCAAGGTGAGTTGGAATGAGAATATGTAAGGAATGGGATATGTTTGAACATGCATGAGAATGTGTGTGTGGGAATTGGAATTTCTTAATTACTGGTTTGTTTTTGTGATGTAAAAAGCTTGAACTGATTTTGACAAAAATTTTTGAGCATTTTTAAAAATAGCCAATTTTTGAAAAAAAAAACCCAAAGCTATAGATAGCCCATGGTTTTTTCCAAAAAATGGTTCCGAAATCACCCCAAATTTTTATTACATTTTCTGATACATATTGATGTCCTTATGCTGTGTAGCAAGTTTGAGCTAATTCCGACAAATATTTTTCGAGTTATGGCCATTTTAAGAAAACACCAAAATTCTGAAAAATACCCAAGGCTATAGCCCATGGTTTTTTTCAAAAAATATCTCCGAAATCACCTCAAATTTTTATTACATTTTCTGATACATATTGATGTCCTTATGCTATGTAGCAAGTTTGAGCTGATTCTGACAAATATTTTTAAAGTTACAGCCATTTTAAAAAAATGCCAAAATTCTAAAAAATACCCAAGGCTATAGCCCATGGTTTTTTCCAAAAAATGGCTCCGAAATCACCCCAAATTTTTATTACATTTTCTGATACATATTGATGTCCTTATGCTATGTAGCAAGTTTGAGCTGATTCCGACAAATATTTTTTGAGTTACGGCCATTTTAAGAAAACGCCAAAATTCTAAAAAATACCCAAGGCTATAGCCCATGGTTTTTTCCAAAAAATGGCTCCGAAATCACCCCAAATTTTTATTACATTTTCTGATGCATATTAATGTCCTTATGCTGTGTAGCAAGTTTGAGCTAATTCCGACAAATATTTTTCGAGTTACGGCCATTTTAAGAAAACGCCAAAATTCTGAAAAATACCCAAGGCTATAGCTCATGGTTTTTCCCAAAAAATGGCTCTGAAATCACCCCAAATTTTTATTACATTTTCTGATACATATTAATGTCCTTATGCTGTGTAGCAAGTTTGAGCTAATTCCGACAAATATTTTTCAAGTTATGGCCATTTTAAGAAAACGCCAAAATTCTGAAAGCTCATGGTTTTTCCCAAAAAATGGCTCCGAAATCACCCCAAATTTTTATTACATTTTCTGATACATATTAATGTCCTTATGCTATGTAGCAAGTTTGAGCTGATTCCGACAAATATTTTTCGAGTTACGGCCATTTTAAGAAAATGCCAAAATTCTGAAAAATACCCAAGGCTATAGCCCATGGTTTTTAAATTAATTAATCATTCATTATTATTATTAATCAATTCTTAGGTCTCCCTGATTTGGTTCCAATGGTGGACCAGTTTGAAAGGTCTCTTAGGTCCTATCCATACGTACACCTGATACCAATGTACTACCTCACCTGTGCTTTAGAGGAGCAGTGCCTATCAAGCAGCGCCTACAGACATGCTGATAACCTCTATCATATCCGTCGCCTGTTAAGATTTGATAGTTTAACTATGAACTATGGGACTTCTCAATTCCTCCCGAGCCTCCCGTCTTCTGAATGGGAATGGCACACCTGTCATCAGCACTATCACTCTTTTGAGGCCTTCATTAGCTATGACGTTTTGAATAAAGATGGAGAAAAAGTCGCCGAGGGCCACAAAGCTAGCTTCTGCCTTGAAGACAGCACGTGTCGAGGTCTTGGGGCCTACATGTATTATCGCTGCTCGACTGGTAATCAGGGAATTTCTAAGAACTGTGGGGATCTCTACGGGAGCCATCTTGATTGTCAGTGGATTGATATCACTGATCTGTCACCAGGGGAATACATCGTAAGACAGATAGTGAATGAAGAAGCAGGTGTGGGGGAGAGTGATTACAGGAATAACGTCATACAGTGCGAGGTTGAATATATGAGTAATTTATATCAACTTAAAGTTGGAAAGTGTTCTCACTCTGGTAAGCTACCGACTTTAACCTTCAATTATCTTTCCCTCCCTCTCTTTCACTTCCTCCCTCTCTCTCTCTCTCTCCCTCCCTCTCTCTTGTTATAGATCACATTTGAGAAGTAGGAACAAAACTGTAATTTTCATACTGTTTAACATCTTTAATTACATGAGATGAGAAAATTATTTTTTTTGATTTTGACTGTCATTTCTATAAATATTTTTATATTGCTACTTTTTTGACAATTGCTATTATTTGCAATCACAAAAACTTGTTGGTGGGTAACACTGAACTACTCCTCATCTTCAAAAATGCCACAGGCATCAAAACTTGACTGCTCTTTAAAAACAGCCTTTGGATACTATAAATTAATCTGATTGTTATTATTATCAAATAAATTTGGCCTTACAGAACAAAAAACAAAAACATCGATAATGTTAAAATTACAGTTAATATAAAAGGATCACAATTAACTAGCTACCAATTAATAAATTTAATTTCAACAGCTCTTTAAGTTGTTATTATTTTCTTGGTATCACTTGGTAATGGTCTTCAAATTATTCTAGATCTAAAAGAAATGTAGAAAATGAAAATAGAAGTTGATCAAATGGATAATGACTACACACTTTGGCCCATTTATGTAGTGTAAACGCAGCATTATACTATATTATAGATGTTACCAGCTATGATACATACATGCTTTTAATCATAATTATTAATAATGATGATTAATTATCAATACACTTACTTAGTGACAGTAGTGTTCCTGCCATACTGCTGGATATTCTGCAATGAGAAAAGTAAAATAATGGTAAAATATCAAAAAGATTTTTAGGTCTAGTTATACACATTATTATTATTATTGCGTGTATAAATTAATTACACTTACCATTAGGTTAGCAGAGAGACTGGTAACTGCTGTACTACCAATTGCAATACCCAGAGACATGGCTGGATTCACAACCGATTCAAAAGTAACTGTACCATCGCTGTTCTCTTTAACTCGGAAATCACTGTTTAGATCGGGATCACCCTAGGAACAAAGAAATTATTAATAATAGTAATTAATAATAATAATTCTTTTTTCTACATCTAAGTGTATGTGTTTTCTAATTATACAATTAAAATTAGAATAATAATAGTAATAAATAATAATATTTATTTCTGCTTATTTTATTTTATTTTATTTCTCTTCGCTAATTTTTGTTCATCCTACATCTAAGTGCTCTTTCTGTTTTTAATAATAATAATAATAATAATAATAATAATAACAACAATAATAATAAATCAGTAATATTAATAATCACTTATTATTTGTGTTATTTTCTCTTTCATAATAATACCTTGGCAATGATGGCATTTCCCGACACCCTGAATCGATAACCTTGAAACTTGTAGCTCTGCAAAGACACGATGCCCATTCCACGATCCTTCCAATAAAAGAATGCTAAAGAAAGTAAAAAAAATAATAATAATGATAATAATAATAATAATAATAATAATGAAAGTACAATTGAAATGACAGGCAACACTGCGAACATAAAAAAAACAACACAGACACATTGTAATAACAAGCACAACAATAACAATATTTGTTGTTGTTGTTGTTGGTTACTTGTATCATCATTAGGATTAGCAGTGGTCAGTACAGCACCAGCAGAATTAATGGAGAGATATTTCTCATGTCCACTGACAAAGAATTGTACTACAGACATATCAGGGATACGAGTCTAAAGGAGAGAGAGGGGGGAAAGAAGGAGGGAGGGAGAGAGAGGGAGGGAGAGAGAGAGGGCATAGTAAAATATAGAAATCAACTTTGCATCAGTTCTTACAAAAACTGATGCTCCTCCACCTGGATTCTTAATGTCATAGCTCAAGTGTTTCTGACGCTAAAATTATTTTTTTAAAATAAAATTAAAATGGTATTTAATTAGGAGATAGCTTCACATACCAATATACGGACAAAGAACTGGGCATCGACCTCAGACGGAGCCAGTTCTTTTGGTTTCCTGGGGTTCCCTCTCTGATCAAACCCAACGTAAGTACCAGGCTGATGGAGACTCTCAAGATAAATGTAATTATCAGGCAAGACATGAACTTTAAGTGGACAGTGCTTATCATTGCTACCCTGTATGGAGGATATCAATAAAATCGTTTTTAAAAATAAATTAAGTGGAGTCTATTTTAACATTAATCCATACCTTAGCAGTTAGGCTCTTGCCCCTTATTGCAATATGCATTCCTTTCCAATTGACATTCGTAAACACGACACCATTGTTTGAAGCAATGCTAACATCCCAACTAGCTATAAGTACATACAGATAAGGTCCATTAGCTACAAAGCAAGTACAACACTTACAATCGGTTTTGCTGAAATTGCCCCTGGCACATATGTCTCCATTCACTACTCCAACAGGATTACCATTACTCCTAGCAATCAGCTGCACTGTATTACCAGCCTTGAAAGCATCCTGGGAAAAGGGAGAGGGAGAGAGAGAGAGAGGGGAAGGGAGAAGAGAGAGAGAGAGAGGGGGGGAGAGAGAGAGAGGGGGGGAGAGAGAGAGAGGGGGGGAGAGAGAGAGAGAGAGAGGGAGAGAGAGAAAGAGAGGGAGAGAGAGAGAAAGAGAGGAGAGCGAGAGAGAGAGTTTAATAAGGAATTTTACAATACTTACTGTGACAAGGAAGCCAGTTGGAAATCCGGAAAATACTTGAGGAGGTGGTCCCTGAGGGGGCGGTAATCCTTGAGGGGGCGGCATTCCCTGAGGGGGCGGTAATCCTTGAGGGGGTGGCATTCCCTGAGGGGGCGGTAATCCCTGAGTGGGCTGGTAACTAGGTGTATACTGGGGTGGCGGCTCATAGCCTTGCTGAGGAGGTGGAGCATATCCTTGAGTGGGTGGGGCATATCCTTGAGGGGGTGGAGCATACCCTGGAGTAGGTTGAGGATATCCTTGAGTGGGCGGAAAGTAGCCTTGACCGGGTGGAGGTTGTCCTCCTTGAGGAGGCGGAGCATAGCCCCCTTGCATGGGCGGGGTTTGGCCCCCGGGGGGAGGGGGGTAAGCTTGAGCCGGGGGTACATAACCTTGAGGGGGAGGAAGAGGAGGAGCCTGAAAAAAGGATAAAAGGTTGTCATGACATATAAATTATCAATTTTGTTTAATAGTATTATGTGTGAACTTTCACTAATTAAATACCTAACAATGATCTCTCTACTATAATAAAGCCGAGAATAAAGCTGTATTTTAGTTCCAGTTAATGTTGCATGTGATGTCACATGATTGCTACCATTTAAGGTAAGGGGCAATGACTAGACAAGAACATTAAGAACAAACAAACATAAATGTATACAGCCAAATATCTTCAAGCCTGATTCAAAATGTTGTCCAAAATTAATGACTGAAGCTTGATATCAGTACTGGTACAACCCTATTGGTTATCATTGCTAAAGTCAGTCTGGCCTGATCCAGTATAAATGCTCATGTATAAAATGCTTAGTTTAAATGCTTGTACATGTACATGTATAAATAACATAATGCATGCATAATGAAGTTAAATGAGCCATATCATCATTACAATCACAGTTACTTGTTTTATGTATACATAATCTCTTGCTCTCTCTCTCTCTTTCTCTCTGATCTTACTGATGCTTCCACGTTCATCTGTCCTACTTGTCCTGCTAACTGGTCCTAGAGGAAGAGTGAGGGACAGCTTAAAATAAAGAGATAAGGAGCCGCTTACTACTTGATACGCCATTTGAGTTGCTTCACCTTTGCTTTACTCTGAAGTCAAGTGCTGAATCACTCACTGAGGGCAAATTAATGAATAATGTTGTATGAGGGCGTGGCTATATTGAATATGTACACGCCCACGTAATAGATTAAGTTTGAATCAGGCCTGATTCAGAAATGTTACCCAAAATTAATAAATCAAGTCTGATATCAGTACTGGTACAGACTTGACAGGTATCATTGCTGATCATATCCGTTGCTCTAGCCTGATCCAGTACAGAGATGTGTATCATGATTGTATCATGGCTGATTTCATGATTAAATCTTGACTGATTGCCCAAAATCCATGATCCATGTCTGATATCAGGCCTGGTTTCAGGCCTGATCAAGGTGATTTATAATAATTATTATTTTGACGAAACAAATTTATTCATGTATAATTAAATGTTGTCGAGGAACTTTAATTAAGTAAGCATCGAAGCAGCCCTGTTCTTTGTTCATCTGCTCATTTAAGAATTCAAACGGCGTAAAGGCAATGCCTACAGGCTCTAGTGAAACGAATGCTGATCAAACCAGTCAAGACAAGTTGCATAAAAAGTTTACATGGAAAGAATTGAGCGCTCTTAACAAGCCAGAGAATGTTCACGTTGCTTATAAAGGAAAAGTAAGATCTCCCTCTCTCTCTCTCTCTCTTATCTTTCTTCTTTGTCGGCCTTAGGTTTATGATGTTAGTAGTTTTGTATCATCTCATCCTGGAGGTGTTGATCAGATCATGATGGGAGCTGGTCGGGATATAACACACTTATTTGATGTCTACCATCAACCACAGACAATCAAGTACGATATAACATAGCAATAAAACATGATGCAATTTCATGTAATTACGATACAAGCAAGTTAAACATGTGAAGTGAAATTATTGTAATTTTGTATGTGGATTTTATTAATTATTTTTGATATATTTTAGATTTCTTGAAAAGTATTACGTTGGAGAATTGACTGATGTTGAATTTGTTACTTATCCAGAGGAAAAGTAATTAATATAATTCTTTATTATTATTATTATTATTATTATTATTATTATTATTATTACTGTTATTTTTTCCAGGAACCAGTTTTACTCTACGCTTAAGAAAAGAGTCAAGGAGAAATTTAAATCGCTACAAATTGTAATAGCATAATTGATTAGTACTAGTTTTAGAAAAGGAGCAGCAGGAAACATGTTACTAGCAACATTTTTTACTTTGATCTTGTGCTAAAAATAGAACAGATTTCTATACTTGGATACAAAATCAAATTAGAATGTTGCTACAATAGCAAATTAGCAACACGTAGACTATAGTAGTTTGCACTGTACTATACTGTAATTATGTGAATATTATTCAACTTATATCACCTTTATAGGACACTAAATTTGACTACAAGATGTTTTTATTATATTTTACTTACTGCTCCTTTTGTGCCCTTACTTGGTACAGCATGGTAAGTATCATCATCATCATCAATCATCATTATTTACTTTCCCTAGCTCATTAGTGGTGACTCTTATTGGCTAAGAGGCATTTTCTCTTCGGCTGCTTTGGGCATCTTTACAGGGCTCTCCTTTTATTCTATGTTTCATGATGCTAGGTACATTTGCTAGTATAAAGGCTGGTTACAATAAAACGTTAGGCCAGCGTGCCGTCAATTTGTAATCAAAAGCGTGGGAGATTTGACCTTTTGACGCACGCTTTCTGCTAGAATAGAACCAGATTCTATTCCAGCGTCAACGTAATGTCAGAACTAGCATAATATTGTAAACTAGCCTTAAGGTTTTTAGTATAACTCTCATTTTGTAGTCATTGCTGCATAACTCACAGCCCCATGGTATGGAGAATAGCTCGAATAATAGTGCAGTGTGTGACGGGATTATCTATGTACTGCTGGATGTATAGAGTAAGCCATTAAGCTTAATTATATGCAATTTAATAATAATAATAATAATAATAATAATAATAATAATAACAGCACACTTGTGGTCATCATATATACACCAATGTTGACATAGCTGATCCCGATTGTAGGACACAAGTTATGGTAAGAATTAATAAACTTTCTTCCTTCTAGATTTTATTATTATTATTATTATTTAGAAAAAGGAAGTATGGAGGCTAAAACACAAGCAGTCGTGGTTCAAACGCTATGAGTATCAACATTTGTACATGCCATTGTTTATTTATACATTTGTAAGAGATTTTTATGCATCATTAAAATTACATTATTTTGCATTGCATATAGTACAGCGTTATAATGAATGTTCAGGATTTTGTAGTCATGAAGAACCTTGAGATAGGTATTGCAATAAGGACTAGAATCAGTTGCTATTTCTTCCCTATGTTAGGTCGTATACGGTTAAATCCACCCAGTACTTATCAAAGGAGAGAGTTTTATTTCATGAAAATATTCCATCACACCATGAGGTTGATTGTGCCACTGTTTTATATGTCATTAACATCAATGGTAACTATTATTATACACAAGCATGGTTTTCCACAAAGCATGCTAAGTGAGCTAAACAGTATAATTATGTTTATGAACTGCAATATGTAATACATGGCTTTTGGAGTAACTAATAAAAATCCAATTTTGATTGGAATCAGCTTCAACTTGACAAATAACATAAGTACATGTATATGTGAATCAGAAGAAAATTTTGGAGCAACTTTTAGAATTCATAAAATTTCAAACTACACAGCATCAGAACATGTACATGTATCAAAAAAATTAAAAACTTACTCCTTTAAATTTTTGACAAAATGCCCTGTATTTTGTCAAAATTCATTGAACAAGAGTACCATGCTAAACTGTGGGAAACTCTGCATATAAATATTCCTTTTTTATATAACCAATAGCTCCTGTATAATTTGATATATCAAGTAGTGCTGGGGCACTGGATCTTACTACTGGCACAGCTCTCACACCTTACAACTAAAGTAATAATAATAATGATTTAGAATTTAAAATTACATTTCTGTAGGTATCATTATCAGAAGATATTGCATTACAGAATAAATCCTGGTAAGAAGCAATTCCTTTATTGTCCTTTGCCACAATCATTTCTATTGTAATTAATAAAATTTGCTGCACAGATAAGTATTGTAAGAATGACTGTACATTCCATTCCAGGGCTGAGTATCAAGTATTAACTACTAAGGATTACGATACTGATTCATTACTGTGTACATTATTAACTGGTACTCTCAATCATCAAGTAGCTCACCATTTGTTTCCTGATGTACTCCAGTCCTATTATCCCATCATTACTCCTATTGTACGGGATACTTGTAAAGAATTTGGTATTCAGTATAATTGTGAAGCCAGTCTATTCGTTGCTATAAAAGAACATTTAACTTTTTTATTTAAAATGGGACAAGAACCGGCTGAGACTAAAACTCATTGAAAAGACTTTTTAATTTTAATTTCATCATTCATTGTCATTTTTTTAAACCAGCGCAGCGCCCACGTAAGTGGGTGTGGCTCGTTATTAATTTTATTAACTAGATCAAAAATGGAGGTTTGTGTCGATAGTGTGCAATCTGCCATAAATGCTGATAAAGGCAAAGCCTCTCGTCTCGAGCTGTGCTCTAACCTTCAGGAAGGAGGACTAACCCCATCACTGGGTCTGTATAAAAGAGTAAAGAAATCAGTCCCCTCTCTACCAATATTCGTTATGATCAGACCTCGTCCGGGGGATTTTTGTTATTCGGAACACGAGCTGGAGGTCATGAGGGAGGATATTGAGATATTTAAAAATGAGGGGGCGGAAGGTTTTGTGTTTGGTATTCTAAGTCCAAGTGGTCACATGCATTGATAAAGACAATTGCAAAAGTTTGTTGGGTAAAAAACTAAAAATAATTTAAATGCCATCAGATGCAACATTCTCTCTCTTTCTTTCTCTTAGATATTGCTAATCCTCTCCCAGTCACATTTCACAGAGCCATTGATGTCTCCTTAAATCCCAAGACATCGCTCGAGGACATTATAGAACTGGGTTTTTCAAGAGTTCTAACTAGCGGGGGACAACCTTCAGCTATAAAAGGACTACCCCTCATTTCAGAGCTAACTTCGATGGGAGCTGGTCGTATCATTGTGATGCCTGGAGGAGGCATTACACCTGATAATCTTGAGCTGATATTAAAAGAGCTGCCAGAGCTCAGGGAATTTCATGGATCTGGTTCTGGAGCTTGGAAAGAATCAAGAATGGAGCATAGGAACGATAGTTTGAGAATGGGACTGAGTCCTGATTATGCTTACAAAGAGACTGAGGCTAACACAGTACTCAATCTAGTTAACATTAGCAAAAGAATTTGGAATGAAAATACATGATAATTTTGCTTTTTTTTTCAGCTCACTTACGCAACTATGCATGCACCTACGCGTTTGATTAAAACACGTGGTTTTCGCATACCCGCCTATTTTATTCTATATTCCACAACCCTTACTTCTGGCTTCAATTCAAGATGGGGTCTCCAGATCCTGGAGAAGCATACAAAAAGTTCACCTACAGAGAGCTAAGGACTTTAAATAGGCGAGAGAATGCTCACGTTGCTTATAAAGGAAAAGTAACACCTCCATCCCCCCTCTCTCACCCTTTTATTTGCCCTTAGGTTTATGATGTTAGTGGCTTTGTTTTATCTCATCCTGGAGGTATTGATCAGATTATGATTGGAGCTGGTCATGATATAACTCAACTGTTTAATACCTACCATCAACCAAAGATACTGAAGTAATGAAGACAAGACCATTAAGTGCATGGAATTGTTATTGTTTATTGTTTAGGGTACTTGAGAAATATTATGTCGGCGAACTGATTGACAATGAAATGCCTGTATATGCTGAAGACAAGTATGTACAACTTATAAAATTTTTATTATTTAATTTTTTTTTCAATCGTAGGACACAGTTTTATCCAACGCTTAAAAAGAGAGTTAAAGAGAAACTGAATTCTCTTAACATAGTATAACCAATAAAAAAAACATTATATATATAAAATTGAAATTATTATTTACAGGATCCAAAGTTTGACTATAGAATGTTTGCTTTATACCTGATGGTGTTCATTACCTGGTGGGGATCACTGTATGGAATGGTGAGTTGTGTAGCCTATTTGTACTGACAATCATAAATGATAATTCTCCATGGTAATCAAATGCAACATCCAGTAGCATTGGTAAATACTATTGGCAGTGCCTGACTAGCTATCAACCACATCATCAGTATCAACTTCCTTTCATTATTATCTAATTGTATGATGCTTCCTTCACTATTGTCATTGACAATTGTGGTTTAAATGCTTTTCCAAGGGTGGACTTCACAAAGTGTACTTGCATTGGGAATTTTTGTACATGTACACTTTTTCTTTATGCATGTATGTATGTATTTATGTATGTTTTATGTATTTATGTATAGTTGAAATGGTGGGCAGAGTCTTGGTTGCTTAGTATTGCTAGCACAGTTGTTTTAGGTTGGATTAGTGCTTGTGTTATCTTTTTGATTGGCCACGATGTGAGGTGAGAAATAACAATAAAGACATTTATTTTTATTTTATTATTATGATATTTTAAAAGTCATTTTGCAGTTACCCACAGCCCTTGGGTGTGGAGGGCTGTTAGGATTGTAGGACAAGTGACCAGTGGCCTCTCAATGTACTGCTGGACTTATCAAGTTAGTTGAGCCTGTTTCAAGTCTTTTATCCCTTTCTTTTCTTCCTCTGTCTCTCTTTTTCTCTCTGGCAGCATATTTTTGGTCATCATAGCTATACTAGTGTTGATGGCGTTGATCCAGATGTGTATACAACTGTAAGAGAAAAATGACAACTATTTAGAGCTATATGCCACTCTCTTTCTCTCCTCTCTCTTGCTCTTTCTTTCTCTCCTCCTCCTCTCTCTCTCTCTCTTTCTCTCTCTCTTTCTCTCTCTCTTTCTCTCTCTCTTTCTCTCTTTTTTTTCTCTTTTTGCAGGATCATAATGATGTGTATAGGTTAAAAGAAAGACAGAAGTGGATCAGGACTTTCCGATTGCAGTACATATACATGCCAGTACTTTATTCACTCGTATGCAAAATAATAATGAACTGAATTATAAGAAATAACTTTATGACTGTGTGCATGCATGCATATAGCTTACAATGAAGATGAAAATACAAGACTGCTTTGATGTAGTAACACTTAGAAAAGGTTAATAAAATTTTGTTGTGACTGTCAGTCGAAATTTTACCTATCTTGTGGTATAAAATTTTCTTCTATTATAGGTCCTATAAGTATGAATCCACTTAGTACTTTCCAAATAATTGAATTCATTGTGATTAAACTGCTTCATGTTGTATTACTGATATTTGTACCACTGATGTATATGTCATTTAGCTCAATGGTGAGTGTACTTATGATACTTGACTGTAGCAATTAAGTATTTCTTTTTACTTTTTATTTAGGTAATGCTGCACTTACTGTATGAGTTGGTATATGGATTTATACTTGCTATTATCATTAATATAAATCATGTTAATACTGATGTAAGTACTCAACTAATGTATCTTCTTATTGCTTCTCCTTTGTCTAGTTGCATGAAATGATTAAGCCAGAGGAAGCTAAGGATATTAAATGGTAAGAAATATATTTACTGCATGGCCTAATCTTCATTATCATGTTGCATTACAGGGCTGAGTATCAAGTATTAACTACTAAAGATTACGATACTGATTCATTGCTGTGTACATTATTAACTGGTGCTCTCAATCATCAAGTAGCTCACCATTTGTTTCCTGATGTACTACAGTCCTATTATCCCATCATTACTCCTATTGTGCGGGATACTTGTAAAGAATTTGGTATTCAGTATAATTGTGAAGCCAGTCTGCCTAAGGCTCTATGGGAGCATTTGAAATATTTGTTTAGAATGGGACAGGAACCTACCCAGCTCAAGGTCCAGTAAATACTGCACCAGCTACTGAATTAACTCTTCTGTATTTTGCTAATGTTATTTTTTTTCCTTATTTTTGTGTGCTTTGTGACCTTTTCCACCCACGCATCTCTTGTTTCAAATGAAGGGCGTGGCTCAATATGCAAATTTGCTTCATTCGCACCTCTATTAAGGAATAGAAAGGAGATCATTTATTTGTAGAGAATATGGGTAGCCCTGAGCCTCTTGGAGCAGTCAAGCACTTCACATGGAAAGAACTGAGTGCTCTAAACAAGCGAGAGAATGCTCACGTTGCTCACAACGGAAAAGTAAAAACTCCCTCCCCCTCTCTCATATCTCTTTCTTCTTTGTCCTCATAGGTTTATGATGTTAGTAGTTTTGTATCATCTCATCCTGGAGGTGTTGATCAGATCATGTTAGGAGCTGGTCATGATATAACACACTTATTCAATGTCTATCATCAACCACAAACAATGAAGTATGCCCTAACTGAAAACAGTTTGTTTTTGCTTTGTTTATCATTTATGGTGTTTGCTTGTTATTTTCAATTTGCTGTTTAGGGTACTTGAGAAATATTATGTCGGTGAGCTGATTGACAATGAAATGCCTGTATATGCTGAAGACAAGTATGTGCAAGTTAATTAAAGGAACTCTACTCTACCTTTCTCTCTGCTTATCTGTCTTTCTCTCCCTCCCTCCTTTTCACTCTTTCTCTCCACTCTAGGACTCAGTTTTATCCTGTGCTAAAGAAAAGAGTTAAAGAGCATTTCAAATCCCTTAATATTGTAAGCCAATACTATAACTATTATAATGACACAACTTTTACAATAATTTTATTTTTGCAAAAATGTGGACCACACCACATACCTGTGTGGGAGTGTTATTATAATAATAATTAGTACTGGTAGATTAGTTTTTAATGTTCTATGTTGGCTAAAATATTTACAGTTACTCCAAAATTTTTTGCCACAAAATTACATCTGAGTTACAACTGATTGTTTAAATTTCATAATCATAGGATCCTAAAATAGATTACAGAATGTTTTCTCTATACCTGTTTTTCTTGTTCTTTTGGGTGAGCTCATGGTATGGAATGGTAAGTATGAAATTGATTTTGAAACTCTCATCTCCTATCTATCATTAATAGTTAAGATATCATGACTCATGGCTTGGTGTTGCATGCTCTTTTGCTCTTGGTTGGTGCAGCTGTTTTGTTCTATTTAATTTTGGTCACGACTTGAGGTATTACTCTTGCTATAAATATGCATACTGTGTTAATTCTGTGAATATTTGGTGTAGCCACTTTGCTATTACACACAAGCCATGGATATGGAAGGTTGGTGGATTCATAACTGTTGTGATGGGTGGATTTTCAATGTATTGCTGGACATATCAAGTAGAGCACTATAAAACATACATTCAGCTAATAATTATTGCTGTATTCCTAGCACACTTATGGACACCATAATTACACTAATGTTAATGGAGTGGATCCTGATACTAAAACTAATGTAAAAGAGTAAAGTATCATGTAATAGTTTTTAATACTCTTTTATTCTCAGGATATTGATTTTTGGAGGATTAAACACAAGCAAAACTGGATTAAAAGATACCGTCTGCAGTATATATACATGCCAATGCTATATTGCTTTGTGAGCATCAAATAATTAAAGACATTATTTGTTGCTGTTCATGCACATATATAGCTTGCTATCAAAATGAAAATGCAAGACTTTAGTGATATTTTATCACTGCAGAAAGGTCTGCTACCATAATATATTAATTTATTATTTTTCATTTGATATTCAGGTACCATAAGGATGAACCCTCCAAGTACCTTTCAACTAATAAAGTTCTACGTTGCCAAGTTCCTCCATTTCTCACTAGTACTGTTCATACCAATGATGATCATGCCACTGAAGACACTGGTAAGCTGAACATGTGACTATCATGCGACTATCATGTGACTATCATGTGATCCCATAGATATTGTATCACTTTATATACGAGCTAGTTTATGGATTCATAACAGCTCTAATAACTGTAGTGAATCATGTGAACACTGATGTAAGTAATAAACCACAGAATTCAAAATGCATTCTTTTCTCTAATATAGTTAGCTGAAATACAGCCAGATGAAACCAATGATAAAAAATGGTATGAACTACCAAGCAAATTTACTGAAAACCTGTTCATGCAACAAGAAGTTGCATAGCAGCTTTCAGCAAAGTTGCCTTCAATTTAAAAAAATTATTTTTTTCATTGCATTACAGGGCTGAGTATCAAGTATTAACTACTAAGGATTATGCTACTGATTCATTGCTGTGTACATTATTAACTGGTGCTCTCAATCATCAAGTAGCTCACCATTTGTTTCCTGATGTACTCCAGTCCTATTATCCCATCATTACTCCTATTGTACGGGATACTTGTAAAGAGTTTGGTATTCAGTATAATTGTGAGACCAGCTTTCTCACTGTTGTGAAGGAACATTTAATTTTCTTGTTTAAAATGGGACAAGAACCAGCTGCAACACAATACAATAAAGAACAATAAATAAACAAAATCATTTTTTAGCAGAGTTTTTAAAAATTAAAAATTGCTGAGGGCTAGGGTGGGGCTCATTAAAAAGGCGTGTCTGTTACCACGCCCACTACAAATATAGTGATTTGTGAACACGTGAACACGTGGGTACATCATGAAAAAGGTAAAGAATGTTTTTAACAAGTATTTTATATCATTTCTCTGTCCCTAGAGCCTATCAGACTGGGTAACTGACCTTGATAGTGATCTTTCTGTAGGCCTGACCTCATCAAAGGTCACTAATAGGAAGAGAACTGGGGGCAGCACACTTAGGAAATATCCGAGCACTTCAAAGAGGAGAAAGACCACACCTCTTACTAGAAAAACGTCTCAAAATGATAAAACACTATTAACAGGTATTGTAATATGGCCACGCATTAATTTTATTATATTTTTAGCTAGCGGTGATTCTGAAACAGCTTGGAATGTAAAATATTCACCAAAATCAACGGTAACTGATCTCTTAACACTGATATTGATATATTGATACTGATTCTGATACAGGCTGATCTTGCCGTTCATAAGAAGAAGCTAACTGAAGTGCAGCAATGGATTGACTCTGCCTTATCTAATGTAAACACTTTAAAAAATAAATGATTATTAGTAATATTTTTCTTTTCAGAAGACACAGTGTCCAATTTTATTACTAACAGGTCCAAGTGGTTGTGGAAAAACAGCAACAGTACGTTCCATCACACAAGAACTAGGGGTATCAGTAACAGAGTGGTCCAACCCTTTTGATGTTCCTCAAGTGGGTGTGGTCGATAGATGTAAGTAAGGGGAGGGGCTTAGTGGATATATTTGATTCCCATACTCTCAGACTCTCAGTTCCAGGATTACGAGTTTCAAGAGTCTCAGACGAAACAGTTTCAAAATTTCCTGCTACGTGGGAACAGGTATCCATCACTTAATTTCACCACCACTTCATCTGAGGCTACTTCAGCTACTGGAGGGAAAGGAGAGAGAAAGAATAAGATTATACTCATTGAGGTATTTGTATGTGCATGTATGTATATTTTATTTTAATTTTTATTAAATATATTTTAGGATTTACCAAATGCTTTGTTAAGAGATCCGTCGCAATTACATCATTTATTAAAGTAATAATCTATTTATTTAATTATTTATTTATCTCCTCTCTCTCTCTCTTTCTCTCTACAGGAGTATGAGATATTTCCATTACCCGTTGGTTTTTATTGTATCTGATAGTCAGTCCAGTTCCATCGGTAGCTCATCAAGACTATTCCCATCACTTATAGTATCACAATTAGATATTCATCATATTCAGTTAGTATCTATAAAACACATTTTAAATATTTTCTCTCTTTTAGCTTCAATCCTGTCGCCCATACTAACATGGTGAGGGCATTAAATAGAATAGTCGAGACCGAATTTAAATCTCTAAAGGAGAGTGGTAGACATCGTTTAAAAACCATGCCCACTTTATTACCAAATAAGGAAGTCATAGAAAGCATTGCTGTGAAGTCTAGCGGCGACATAAGATCGGCCGTTAACATGTTACAGTTTACCTGTCTGAGAGGTGTGGCTAGTGTTGCTATGGTTACCATTATTGCACAATAGGTTCCAACAACGATAATTTGAGATGGAAAGATCCTGGAGAAATGGGTGTGGTCAAAAGTTCGGCTGAGTTGGGTGGTCGAGATTGCTCGATGTTTCTATTTAAAGCACTTGGAAAGATACTCTATTGTAAAAGTATGTTCTATTATTAGTAACATTGCTATTTTTAGTAACACTAGGAAGCAGTACTGAGGGTGTGACTGACTCTGCCCCTTTCTCTGTAAATAGAAGAGGGGAATTATTAGTAGAGCCTGAGGTGGGTGGAGTTTATTTAACGAGTTGCTATGACGATTATTAATAGATTGTTATCGAGTCAGTCAACATGAGAAGTGATTTATTTAATTTGTATCTTCACCAGAACTACCTTGACTTCTTTGAGAGGATAGAAGACGTGGTGAGTGTGCATTTACTGTCCGAAATCAATAGAAATTTGAGGATTCTCAATTGTTACTTTTGACCTGATTTTTTAGCAACTTTAAAAATTCTTTTAAAATCCAATTTTAATCGGAATCAGCTCAAACTTTCTATGCAACCTAATGTATCAGGAAGCATTATAGAAATGGTGAATTCTCTCCTTTTCAATTTTGGTGAATTTGGCCATTGTCACGAAATCTGTGACGAGCAAAAACCCATTAGTCCGATTGTCACAAAATCCGTGACAAGTAAAAACCCATTAGTTCCATTGTCATATAATAATAATAACATTTTAAAAGTACATTTGGTACAAAAATTATTTTTTTTCTCTAGTCAGTTGCTCTAGAGTACATTAGTGATTCTGATATATTCTCCTCATCATGGACTGAATCACAGGTACCCAACTACCCATACTACCCTATCTTATTTTACATGTTCTTTTACATGCATATTAGGTTGATAGACGATGCTTAGAATCCTGTAGCTCATCAGTTTGCTGTCGTGGACTAATGTTTGCTAATAATGAGATAAGTAGTGGGAGATGGAGACCACTGCATAAACCAATGTGGAGTACAGTCTGGAGAAAAGTAATTAGCACTAAAACTTTGAGTCCTTGTTTACTCCAATTAATGCCCAACACAATGTATACACATCAACAAGCAACGAGGGATGTATATGTACATGTACATTATTAATTCTTGTGTCATTAGTTGTATTTTTCATATTTTATAGTTTGAAGATAATTGTACTTCTTCTCGTGACTTGTTTCTGCATCTTGGAGCATCACCACACTGTATGTTAGTTCTATAGTTATCACATGATATCACATCTCTCTCTCTCTCTCCCTCCTTTCTTCTTTCTCCTCCTCTCTCCTCTTTCTCTTATTTACAGCTCATTTATGGTTACCCATTGAGCTACAGACAGAAATATTACCATTTATATCACTAATGAATAAACCATTGAGAAACCCCAGTCAGTAGTCGTGTGATACTCATGTGACATAATTATGATCTCATTAATAATAATAATAATAATAATAATAATAATAATATAGGTCAAGCGAATCTGCTTCATACCATTACAGATTTCAAAACAAATTTTAAAAGGTAAACTCAACGAAAAATGAAATTATTATTATTTGTTTTTAAATAGAGGTTTTTCTAAATTGGGCGAGACAGAGTTTGGGGGTGATTCAAGCCACACCTCCTCGTTAGAGATGGGAAGCCACACCCCTTTAATTGAGCGACCGTTGGAAAGAGAAGAGCCTGTTCTTACTAGTTCACAGCTACGGACTGGAGGAATAACTAACAATAATGATAGTGACTATGATCATGATGATGATCATGAATGTATTGAAGATTTTGATGATGAAGATTGGTGATTATTATTATTATTATTAGTGTATTAATTATTATTAGTATTATTATAATCAGAGTCATCATTAAAAAACATTTTTCATTTACACTAAATGCAACTTTTACTCACAATAATAATGTAATTCTCGCTCTTACTATTGGAGGAGTAATATCGATAATTTTTGTTGTAAAAGCTGTAAAAATTAAATTTCTTAATAAAGAATTTATTTGATACAAATAAATATAAAAATAGTTTACTTCCTTTTCTTGTTCGCACCTTTTTTACACTTTGGGGTGTTAAAAAAAACAGGAAGTAAAAAGTATATACTAAAAATTCAAATAAAATAAATTAAAATATACAAATAAATTTAAAAAATAGTTTACTTTCTTTTCTTGCTCACACCTTTTTTCACACTTTGAGGTGTTAACAAGAACAGGAAATAAAAAAGTAATTATTATTTACTATAAATTTCAATTCAGCTTCCTTCTGTTTAATATTATAGTTTCCAAAATTAATTATAATAAAGATCAATGGCAGCATAATACAACAATTAATAATAATAATAATAATAATAATACAACAATAATAATAATAACTAGTGTGATGGCATAATTGTGTCAAGAATAAGTCTACCATAAAATAAAAATAATAACATAAATTAATAATAATAATAACAATAATAATAATAATTGACAGTAAAATTATAAACAGTTTGTTGCTGTTATAGTTCATTAATAAAGGGATTTAGCTCCACTTTGTTCAAACAGTTCATAAGCATCGTTCAACTCATCAAAAATAGCACGAGCTAGATTAGCATTGGATTCATCAACCTATCAGAAATAAATAAATAAATAAATAAATAAATAAATAAATAAATAAATATATAAATATATAAATATTAAGGCCACTATAGGATTTCGGTTTTTTCAATTACTATTATATTACTATTACACCAATATTTGTAATCATTACTATTACTATTACTATTACTATTACATATTACCCCATGTCTGCTATACACCAGACAATTTTATTCCTTGCAATCTGTGGTTACTTTAATGTTGTAAGCAATGTGTTGCCTAGAATAGAACAGCTTTCTATTCTAGTCAACAGTGTTGCCTGAAGATCAAAGTAAGCACAAATAGCAAATAGACTACAACAGCATTGCCTGAGAAGCCTTTGGTACATGTGCATGTACATTGTATCCTTATTTTTTTCTTCTCTCCTTCTCTCTTTAAAACAATGTCCACTTACTTTATCCGGATGAACAGAGAGACATGCTTTCCTAAAATACTTACTGACCTACACACAATAAAGTCACACGATGATCATATAATCATGGTGCACTCACCTGGTCTGCTTCTACTAGCTCGTGCATGCCCACCTTTTTCCATCTCCTCTCTCCCTCCCAGAGAATGGTGTGGAGTGAGCTTATCAATGCACGAATGTTGTGCTCTTTGCCTTCAGCCCAATCAGCAACCTTATAGGAAAGAGATAATGACAATTAAAGAAGAATATTTTAATTATAAGAAAACTTTTATTACAAGAAAATTTGTGCATTAAATATCAGGCATACATGTACATGTATAACTAATATAGTTCATGTACATATGAATTTGCTTTTTTTTTCAGATATAATACCTACATGTACATGTACATGTATGGACAAACTGTAGGTTTTAAATTGGTATAAACAAAAGCTAAAATACAATTAAAATAGTCTCTCAATAATCATTTACTTTTGCTCTCTCGGGATCAGTGATGACATCAACTTTCTTTCTCATGTCCTTCAGAGAAGTCGGTCCTTCCTTCTCTTTAGCCGATGAAGTGAACAGACCGGGATCTAAGAGGTCATTAAACTGGGTCTTACTGCGATTAGGAACTGGACCTAAACAAAAACAACAACAACAATAAAAACACAACGAGACACCTACGGTGCGTGGCCTCGCCCCTATAGCTGTTTGATTATCAAAATTAAAAGAACTTTAGCATGCAAATTGCATATATACATAAAAAGTGTACTCCTGAGGGATAGCAGCTAGCTTGCATAGATCTACCAGACTACCTGCAGAAGTAGCAGCATGCAAGCTAATCCAGCTACTCCCAAATTGGAGGTGTGGCATTACATCATCAACAATTAATTATTAGATGGAAACAAGAAGGAAGTTTCAGATTTTTCTCTTGTTATAAGCGCTATATGACATTATAATGGCACAAATACTGTTGCCTAGATGTAAATTGAGTGATTTGAGAGAGTTTAGGACCTTTAGACTACCTACAGTTCACTCGGATTGAAATTCAAGAAGCTATAACTCACCAACAAGAAAGATTTAAAGAGTCCCACAAATATTAAAACAATAACTAGTCTTGATCTACTGGAAAAGAATCTCATTTACCTCCAGAGTACTACCGCTATTGCTGGGCATTTTCTCGTGAGATAAAAAGCTTCTACTAGCTAGAGCTGCTCTCTAAACATCTCAAGGCAGTAAAGCAAGACTTTTCCTAACAGAAGAGAAGCTCTCACAGATTTAGAGCACGCGATTATAAAGATATACATTCTCAAAGACAAAATCTAGCACACAGAATGAATGAATGACAGACAGACAAACTGAGTACCTAGTCCTCGCCTATGCAAAGCTGGGCGAGGCCAATAACAATAACAACACCATAACAAATCAATAATAATAGTTAAATTAATAATTATTTTTACCAAATTTTTGAGTTGGTGAAGGAGATCGAGTCACGTTCTCTCTTGAAGGAGGTCTCAAGCCAGTCCCACTTTTGCTACTATTAGCCCCGCCCACTCCTCCTTTTCCGCTGTTTCCCCGGGCCCCGTCACTAGCCCCGCCCATTCCACCATACATCTGATACGTCGGTCTATGACTCATAGTCGGCTTGTACTGCTGTTGATTGGTAGGTGTGGCTTTGGGTGGAGCCTGAGACGTCTGCTGCTGTGACTTACCCGAGGCTTGTCCCCAAATATCGCCAAACGGGTCTGAACTCTTAGAAGAAGGAGGAGCTTTAGATCCTCCTCCTCCTCCTCTTTTATCTTGCGGTATCTCGTCGTGTTTTGACGTAGTACTAGTAGCAGTGAAAGAAGCCCAACCTGAATAACCAGATGAGCTGGGATACATTCCTGACCTAGTGGCTCCTAAATTACCAGAAAAACGAGTTTGACTGCTCATTGTCGTAGGAGCAGAGGTAGCCGTTGGTAATAAAGGAGTGGTCCCCATTAGATTCATCAGATCCTCCCCAGCACCTCCGCTAGAAGGAGCAAAAGGATCAAACCCACTACTAGTAGATGCCTTATTACTAGCAGGAGCACTATTATTACTGGTTGAAGGTGGTGGATGGTTGGTTGTGGAATGCGTCCATTCAAAACCAGCAAAAGGATCATTCCCAAAGCTAGTCTGACGAGTACTACTAGTGTTACTGACATTACTAGAGGCTGTCTTTACTGGCGGAGTACTTCCCAGTTCTAGTAAGTTTCCTTCTTCTATGTTGCTTGCTGCTGGGTTACTAAAGAACGCCTCAAGGTCGTCGTCGACGGAAACGGTCGGTTGCCTAGGAGACGACGTGGGTACGTCCCCTCCTTCGCTGTCAGAGGAAGAAGAGGAACAGCCACTGCTGTCAGAGCTACTGTCTGACTCCGCCCCTCCTGATTGGCCAGGGGTACGGTATGAAGCATACCCAACAAAATCGGCAAGATTAGTACCTCCAGTCTCTCCAAATAGATTACCAGCGGCTCCAGTGTCACCCAGTAGGTTACCAGTGGCTGGTTCCGATGAATCCTCGTCTAATAATTGACCGTAGCCTTCAAGACTGGGTGTGGTTTGCTGGACTGGGGGCGTGGTTTGATGAGTTGGAGGTTTTTTCTGTAATTCTTGAATAGAGCCTGCAATAATTAATAATAATAAATTAAAATATTTATATAAATGTATTAAGTTTTACCTCCAAAAAGTTTAAATACATCTCCTTGTTCCTCCATTGTTGAGAAACAGGTCATGGGCGTGGCTTGAGCATGAGGTAAATTCTGCCATGCTACTCCAGCGTTTTGTACTGCCTCTTGGACCGAGAAATTGAGTAGAACTTTGAATGAAGACGGAAACCTGTCGGTTTTTTTAACAGCCGAACCATCCAACTCATTTCTGAGAGGAAAAGAGAGAGAGATTTTAAAAAGATACCGTATAATGATAATTGTGAAGGGAAAAATTTTGGCAAATTGTTAAAATTAGTTTGACAAATGGCTATCAAAATGCAAAATTTATCAAAATTATACATGTACATTGTACATGTAAATGCACATGCATGTAAAGGGGGCAGCGATTAATTTCTTACTTCTCTAAAGTAAGTGAAGTCATTTTTGTAGAGAGGAATCCAGTATGAATCTGAAACTTGAACATCTTCACTGCAGACATGCCCTATGGAAATCACCATGACAACAAGCTCCGCCCACAAACACTTACCATTTCTGCTCTTTTAGTGAGAGGAACCGACTTTATGTGATGAACGATGATAAGAAGGTTTCCGTAGACAGTGGTGTTGAGTGGTATTGAGATCTGACCATCTTTTGTCGTGTATTCCCTGTAACAAGAACATGAAATAAATATACATGTACATATGTATAATGTACATGTTATAATATGTACATGTTACATGTACATGTACATGTAACATGTTATAATATGTACATGTATAATGTGTTGCATATCTAAATGCACTGTACACAATTATAACAAAATAAAAATTAATGTACACGTTGGCTCTACAAAATTTGCAATTTTCTTTAATTAAATGTACATGTACATGTACACATACATACATGTACATGTATATTAATACATTAATGCACATGTACTGTATATCTAAACGTTCAATTGTTAATTGTGCGTGTACTATTTTTGGTGTTTTTAATGCATTGTGAATTGGCTCTACAAAATTTGCAATTTTCTTTAATTAAATGTATACATGTACATGTAGCTGTATTACTAATAGATACATGTATATAATTATGCATTATTTTAATTTAGCATTTCAAAGATATCTCACTAAATTTCCTAAAATTAGCACAAAAAGGTATTTTAATTTCATTACTTCAGTTTGTCCATGTTTTCCTTATTACAGGAGGTGTGGACTCTCTCACCATCAACAAACACTTCAACAAAAGGCTTGCAGCCATTTCTAAAGTTAAATCAAGTTATCATTCATGATAATGTAGAGAGTATTACCTTGCTTCATTATAGATAGGAACTGAAGTGAGATTGAGTCCTGTTAGCTTGAAAGAATGAGGGTGTGGTTTGTATGGGGCAGGGCGTGACAGCGCCATCATGTAATTGAGATACCTACATGTACATGTAATAATAATATTATAAAGATATATACATGTACATGTACATGTATAATGTAAATGTATAACTAAGTACATGTACATATGCATTATAAAAGTGGAGGATTTTCTACTATTCAATTTTGGCAAAATTTGGCCAAAATCGCTGTACTATAGTACAGGGACTTTTGTCTGATTTTGGAGCAATTTCAAAAATTCATAAAAAATCCAACTTTGATCGGAATCAGCTCAAACTTTCTACACAGCCTAAGTACATGTATACGTATCAAAAAAAGTTATAAAAATGAAGAATCCTCTACTTTTCAATTTTGGCAAAATTTGGCCAAAATCACTGTACTATAGTACAGGGACTTTGATCCGATTTTGGAGCAATTTCAAAAATTCATAAAAAATCCAATTTTGATTGGAATCAGCTCAAACTTTCTATACAACATAAGAACATGTATATGTATCAGGAAAAATTATAAAAATGAAGAATTCTCTACTTGTCAATTTTGGTAAAATTTGGCCAAAATCACTGTACTATAGTACAGGGAAATTTGTCCGATTCTGGAGCAACTCTAAAAATTCATAAAAAATCTAAATTTAATTGAAATCAGCTCAAACTTTCTATGCAGCATAAGAACATGTATATGTATCAGGAAAAATTATAAAAATGAAGAATTCTCTACTTGTCAATTTTGGTAAAATTTGGCCAAAATCACTGTACTATAGTACAGGGAAATTTGTCCGATTCTGGAGCAACTCTAAAAATTCGTAAAAAATCTAAATTTAATTGGAATCAGCTCAAACTTTCTATACAACATAAGAACATGTATATGTATCAGGAAAAATTATAAAAATGAAGAATTCTCTACTTGTCAATTTTGGTAAAATTTGGCCAAAATCACTGTACTATAGTACAGGGAAATTTGTCCGATTCTGGAGCAACTCTAAAAATTCGTAAAAAATCTAAATTTAATTGAAATCAGCTCAAACTTTCTATGCAGCATAAGAACATGTATATGTATCAGGAAAAATTATAAAAATGAAGAATTCTCTACTTGTCAATTTTGGCAAAATTTGGCCAAAATCACTGTACTATTATAGTACAGGGAAATTTGTCAGATTTTGGAGCAACTTTAAAAATTCATAAAAAATACAATTTTGATCGGAACCAGCTCAAACTTTCTATGCAACATGTATATGTATCAGAAAAAATTATAAAAATGAAGAATTCTCTCCTAGCTATTTCTGACAAAATACCCCATAGTACAATGGATGGAGAACTTGGTTCATTCCTTCATTACCTTCTGTCTGAAGGAGATATGTCCATCCCTTGTCCCTCAGGCAATCTTCTTGCAGTAAATAATCTGAGAGCTGATGAAGGAGAAGGCAGTGCCCTCAGAAACAACAGATAAGACACAACCAATATACCAGAAGGATGAACACCATCCTACACAGATACATGCATAGATAATATAAATATACATGTACATGTACATAAAAATATACCATACAAAAGAATTTATTGGCAAGAGTAATATTTGGCGAATTTGCTTGTGGAAAGTTAATTTGGCGGATTTCATATTGACGATTTTGTGTCACGTGCCATTGAGCATGCTCAGTTTGAAACAAAATGTCGGATTTTATATTGGTAATTTCTTCATAGAACCACTAATCCCCAATATTAATTCCTCACCAATGAATCATCTTGTACGGTACTGTCGGTACATGATAATTTACACATACATGTACACAAGTATATTATTGTATTACCTTGCAATGGATTACTAGTACGTTTTTAAAATCAGCTCTGAGCCACGAGTCTAACTGTCTACACAACTCAACCAGACTCTCCAATGGAGGCATTGCTCTATTAGGCCACTCATAATCAACAACCTATAAATTAATACTTAATAACTATTAATTAACTAGTAGCCACACCCACCTGACCGCTGAGTTGATCAGTGTCGTACTGTTCTCCTGATAGATTAAACACGAGGTACTGAGAGGGGTGTGTCCCTTCAAGATAAGCCGAGACTTCTTTGAGGACGTTGGGACGTCCGACCCCTCCCTCTTCAAAAGGGTAGGACATCACTAGTATACGACTGGTCACGTATGTAATGTCAGTTGACTTTTGTTTCGGACTAGAGAGAAAAGAACAGGTATAGAGTAACAAATAATAATACCATAATTTGTACATTGTATGTACATGTAGCAAGAAATTAAGTTTTTACATGTAGCGAGAAATTAAGTTTTGTGGCCTAAAGTTTTTGAAAAGTTGCAAAAATAAATCTGCAAAAATCAGTACAAAATGGCCAAAAACTAGAAAATTTATCAAAATATGATACACAAAAATTGATTTTTAGGCTACAAAAATATCTTGCTATACAGTATACATTGTACATGTACATGTATATTAAATGTACATGTAATAAATTATGTTCTTCTATTGCTTACTTTTGTACACTGCTGATGACTTTGTTTGATGTGTCTTTGATATTCTTAAATAAATTCTCAGCTCCACCTTTCATGAAACCAAACAGTTTCTGTGCCTGGTGGCTCGTCGCATGAAGTGCTGATGCAGCATTAATTCCGCCAGAAGAATCAGATTCAGTTGGATCAGAGACAGACTGAGACTGAACACCAGAAATCAGTGGCTCCTTCTGTAAAAAATATAATTTTTATAAGGGTAGCTATTGCCATAGTCTGTTATATTTATTGTACATGTACATGTATTTTATCACTTACAGGTGGTTTGTCAAAATTTTCTCCAAATTTGTCAGCAATCGGATACAGTTGAGCAACGATGGAGTCAACTGAAGGACGTTTGGTGGGGTCAACTACCAAACAGGATCCTGTGAGGGAATGAGAATAGAAAAATGGGAATGAAAATAAAAATATGGGAATGAGAATAAAAACATGAGAATGAGAATAAAACATGGGAATGAGAATAAAAATATGGGAATGAGAATTGAAACATGGGAATGAAAGGGTATGGGAATGAGAAAGTGCACTAACTGATGATATTGTGAAATTCTTTATAAACGTTATCTCCAGGTGGTATGTGGTAATTGGCGTTTAATATTCTTAATTTAGCTGAGTCTTCAAACGGATGCTCTTGAAAACACAGTTTATATAATAAACAACCTAATGCCTGTAAAAACAACAACAACAACAACAACAATAATAATGATAATAATAATGATGATAATGATAATGTTTTACCCATATGTCTCCTTTCTCGTTGATCGGATAATTTGAATATAAGTCTATCATTTCTGGTGCTCTATACATTGGAGTGGTGTTAGCCTGTATCTGTAGTGAGAAGTAAAATAGAATTTGTTTGTCTCCCTCTCCCTCTCTCTCTCTCTCTCTCTCTCTCTCTCTCTCTCTCTCTCTCTCCCTCTCTCTCTCTCCCTCCCTCTCTCTTACTTCATCTTCTGTGAGTCCTCTCTGTGTAGCAGACCAGGAGTGGTCAGGGGTCAGTCGCTGGGTCGTGGCACTACCAAAATCGCACAATTTAACAGACCCCTTGTCTGTGAGCAACAAATTCTCAACCTGTAAAAAATAATAACAATAATAATAATAATAATAATAATAATAATAATAATAATACACACGTATATGTACATGTACATAATAATAAAGTCACACCCACTTTAATATCCCTGTGTATGATGGGCGGGGTCTGAGAGTGCATGTGGGCTATTGCTTGACAGGTTTCATAGAAAACCCTCAGGACTTGACGAGGACTTAAAGGCCGAGTGTTAACAATATCGACAAGCTCACCACCTGCCAAGAAAAAACATAATAATAATATACATCATGTACATGTAGCAACAACAAGTGAAAGTAAGAGAAATAATAATTTATGTATTAGAAAAATGTAATACAAATTGGAAGTGATTTCAAAGCCATTTTCAGAAAAAGGGATGGGCTATAGCATATGGTCGTTCTACTGACTTAGCCAAAATTACAAAGTAGAGAATTCTCTGTTTTTATAATTTTTCCTGATACATATACATGTTCTTATGTTGTGTAGAAAGTTTGAGCTGACTCCAATCAAAATTGGATTTTTTACGAATTTTCAGAGTTGCTCCATAATAAAACAACAATAACAATAAAACTGTTTTTATTCATACCGGTAATAAGTTCAGTTACAATAAGGAACTCTGCACTCCCTCCAGCTGGATCCTTAGAACTAGCGGCACCAATGAAATTAATTATATGAGGATGACCAGACAATTGAGTCTAAAAGAAAGAGAGAGAGTTTAAAAGTACATGTACACGTATGTACATTTATTTAATTCATTAACTTACTAAAAATGTTATTTCTTGCTTGATTGCTTTAATGTTTTCCGAAGCTACTATCTGCCTCTAAAAGTGTTGAAAAAGAATTTAAAATTTTTGAGGGCATGCAACTCATTATAATACATGTACATGTAGTGATTAGTAGTTAACTACCTTTAGTGCGTAGTCAATTCCAGTGCTTGTATCTTGAGCAACAAATACAAACCCATAGCCACCTGGAAAGGGAGAGAGGAATGAAGGAGAGGAAGGGAGAGAGAAGAGGGTTTACCTTCAGCTATAACTTTTTTAACTTTAAGTTTCATCCCGTCTCCAATGTCAACGGTTTGTCCCACGAAAGCGTTTCCACCGCCACTGCCTCCTCCGACGTCTCCCTCGCCACTGAGGTAACTCATTGCTGAACGAAAGAAATCAACCATCTTTGAAAGAAAGAGAAAGACAGACTAGACAGGACAGGTAAGGGAGGTCCCCAGTTTTTTTATGGAGTACGCCCAATGTTAGGGACCCCGCCCAAAAATGACCACGCCTTAAATTAAATTAATGTTTGGAAAATAGCAGATTACATTGTAAGAACTAAGAAATTTTATTAATAGTATTTATTTAATTGTTTATGTAGGATTATAAAAGCTTTTCACTATTAAATTAAGGAAAAATGTATAAGGCAATGAATGGTATGCATGACCATAATAAAGTAATGACCTCGTCAAAAGGAGCTGGGCCGAGACAATGACCATGTGTGACATTTCCTAAGGTTAGATCTACTGTACATGTACAAATTTGCATATTTTGTGGTTTTGTGATGTACAAAATAAATAATGAAATTGACAAGGTGCAAAGTCTTGTGTAGCCAGCCTCTGTGTTGGTATAGACTTTTGGGTAGACACTAGACAGGCTCTAATATCTTCCGTGTTTATGTTGATTTACCTATGGTTTTATTCTTAACACTATAAAACTTAACATGTACTCCACTCTTAAACTGTAATGTTATAGAGTTCTTTCAGTTTTTGAGGTATTTTTTCAGCAGCTGCACGATTCCCTGTTCCCTCCACAGCATCTATCAAAGTCTGCCATGTTCTACTTCTTGCATTATCTTCACCATCTAGCCATGCTTCTATAGTCTTCCTCAAGTGCCTGTATGCATTGCCACCACTGTCTGCAAAAACATTGAGTCTTGGCTGATATAGACCTAACCGAAGCCCCAAGTCATTCCATTTGGTTGCACCAAACAGTACTTTATCTAGCACTTTAAGTATTTTATCAACATCCTTTGCATCTATAAATATCAATACAAGGTAGATTATTATTGTACCTATCATGGTATTGTCTTACCTAGTTGTTCGGCTCCATCTGGAGTACTACTATAATGAGGCTGCTCTGTTGAAGCTGGAATAGCATCAGTAGCTATATCAAAGGATTAGTGTGAGATTGTCAGTTACAAATGAATTATAATAAGTTAAGTTCATGAAGTACTATATAGTTTGCAAGCAATTGGAATACATGTACTGTGTTAGACTAATGATTAAGGATTTAAAATTGATATTAAAATAAAATTCATTTTAGTGAATGCGCTTACTGGCATTTTCTTTTCCCATATTCAAATGATTTATAGCCACACCAGCCAAAACAATAATAATAGCTAAAATAATCAAAGCACCACATTCCCTGATTAAACAAAATGAGTGAGTTTCAGAAAAGTTGGAGCTACTATCTTACTTCAGGTGTTTAGCTTTACAGTATTTCAGAAGATGATAGCCTCCTAATGAGAAGATTATATGAATTGCATTTTGTCAAGTTGCGGCAAAATTGATTATGTACAATAATTGTTGTTATTATTATAACTTCAATTTCAATATTAAATTTACACAAAAAATCATGTTAATTAAGGAAACTAAATAAAATGAAAATGAAGCCTAGAATTTTTTAACTATAAAAGCTAACTGTGAAATTGTAGTTACAAAAGTCAGTCACTTAGTATCTTGTTTATTTATCTAGTACAGCATGCACATAATGGGCAGCAGCACGGGCTGCAATTGGCTTCCATCCCTCAGTGGCTTTTTTGTTACCGTCACCCCAGTCACCGATACCCTTGATGACAATAACATCGAGAGACTCAGCACGTTTAGGGGCATACTCAATAGCAGCCATTACCCCTGCTCCTTCCATTTCTCCTGCTAAAGCATCAGATCTTTTTTCAAACAATTCCTTTTTAACATCAGGATCATCAATCAGACTTGGTGTTGTTATGATAGGACCCTTTGAAACTTTAAATTCATGTTGTATTTCTGGTATTTCAATGCTAGAGCCTGATGTGAATTCCTTTACTATCTCATCCTTTACCTTGTAATCTCCACCTTGCCGATATGTTTCCCAAACTCCTTTACGAGTACACACGAAATCACAGATCATGGTTGAAATAATAACGTCACCTAATTTTTGCTTCTCTGGATTTTTTCCAAAACAGACACCCATAGCAATAATGTATTTGATGCTCTTAACCTTGTCTAATAACTTGGTTGTGATGATAGCAGCATAAACTGGGCCTTGCGTATTTTTACCGGGTGCTGTATTTATGACAATAGCTTTCTTTTTTCCATAACATCCGGTGTATATCGTCAAACCATCAATTTTTATTTTAGTGACAAGGCCTTCAGTTGATTGCTCCAGATAATACATGACTGCCTCATTTTCAGTATCAGTGGCTGGTAAAAGTAGATATTCAATGCCCTCAACAAGATCTTCACTAAAATCTTTGTCTTCATAATTATGACAGTCTGCAATCTTTTTATCATATGACCACTCTGGTGGGACTGCAAAAAAAACTACTTCACTTTTGTCCTTTTCAGATGCAAGCATGATGTATGCATAAGTTGTGGTTTGTGAGCATTAAAATATTTTTTAGCACATAATTAATGGGAAGTTGTAAAGCTTATTGTTTTACATTATTATTTTCAATCTAAATGGTACAAGTGAGCATGTAAGTACATGGTAGATAATATGCAAAAAAGCTATCAGTAAATTTGAATTCATAATAATTAGTGGCTTTATTGTTTAAAGCACGTCATACATCCACACTGTGTCATACTGCATAGTGCATACTGTGTTATAGTAATAGACTATAATGGTTACCTTCTGCTGGTCCATCAGTCTCCTCATCACCACTTTCTTTATCTTTTTGTTTGGAATTTTGAGTTGCTACAGTTAAAATAGAGCGCAAAACAAACAATTAATTTTATGATGGCAATGAATTTTGTCATAGATATGGGCTATGATTTTGTCTTGTAGATTAGAGTGGACACTTAAAAGGTTTCATGCACTAGTAGTAATTAGTTTGACAAAATCATTTTACTCTTATTTGGGTGTAGTGAGTACAACAGATTATAATAGTATTACCATTGTATCCAGCATCACTTTCTTTAGTAGAGTCAAGTTTTTGCCCTAGATTAGAGTGCAATTAATAAATTAGCCTGGCTGCCTTTCACTTACACATACTTTTAGCAGGTTTTTGTTCTTTTGATGGACCTAAAATTTAAAAAAAGTACTGTTGATTTGCATGCATAATTTTCTATTTAAATCTAATTATTACTATTATACCTCAATCATGCTTCCTAATAATTGACAAAAAATAGCATGAGACTAGGACTATTGGCATTGGTAAGGATCATTACATAGGAGAAACACCATCCAATTTAAAAGAGGGGGGCAAGTTCCACAAAACCCATGCTACAACAAAGCATTATTAGGAAAACACTTCATGTGGTTGTATGAGTACACAGCTGTGCTATCTATAGCACAACTCAGGGAGGGGCAAAGAATTCAGTCGAAACTCGACACCCATATGATTTTGCACTGCTGCTGATTTTTACTGTTTTTAGCCTATAATAATGTGAAGTGCAGAGGGTTCAATTTCAATTTTGTTAATGCATATGCATGATTCAACTATTTTCCTGAAAATTAAAACCTTTTATTCTTACTTGATAATTGTTCTCTCATGTTTGCTCCAAGTCTCCTCAATGGCTCATTATTCACTTTTTTGCTTTCAAACACATCACATATTTTCAGTAAACATTGGGCAGAATCTTCATTTTCATCATCTAATTTTTCAACTAAAAGATCAGCTATCCTCTGTCCTCTCTCGTCATCATTAAGATTTTTTTCTGATTCTATTTGATTAATCTCAATTTTAGTAATCAGCTTTTTTGCAAAGAAATTGTTAGTAACATTAGTGAAATTCTTTCTCTTTCCAATCAATGGGGAAATTTCATCAAACACCTCCTGAAAGATGTCAGCTGGAGGTTTACCTAGTGCACATTAAAGAGCAGATTAGTTTAACATTGTTTCTTTATATCAATTGAGTGTGTACAGGTACTTTAAAGCACTTACCTTCATGTGCAGTAGCCATATTGCAGCTGATAAAAGAAGACTGAGAGTTAAAGATGAGAAAACAAGAAGAGTTGAGGTCAATGAATGAGGAATCTGGGATTGGCAATGACCTATGAATTTCCTGTTTATTGATAGTTTAGTGAAGACCTCCAAAAGATTATTACTATCATATTACTCTAAAATTTATCCTTATATGGAGCTCAAGTATATAATATAAGTGTATGTGTGGTCTATCTAGAGTACATTCTTGAGGCTCACCCACACCTGTAATACTATCCCAATCTTTAATACATTCTTTTTCTGATAAAGACTAAACAGTTGTTGAGATGTAAGCAGCAAAAACTTTAATAATAAAAACAGACACTAATAGTCAATTTAACGTAATGGTATCCTTTCAGCAGCTGCTTTGTCTCCAGTATCCTTGACTGCTTCTTTTAAAATCTGCCATGTTGTTCCTTTAACTTGATCCTCTTTCTCCAACCATTTTTGAATAGTTTTTTCCAGATAATCATTGGCATCACCATTTGTTCTACCAATGGTATTAAGTGTTGTCACAATGAGACCTAGTGATAGTCCTAAGTCCCTCCAATTTGCAGGACCAAACATTGCTTCTTTTAAAATTTTCAACACTTTCTTGACATCACCTACATCTAATGAAAGGAAATGATAATGTATATTGTGTATCTAATGTTCTCCTATATACTTAGTTCATTCGGATTTGTCCTTGTAGTTGTGGGTTCACTGGGTTGTGGTGGAGCAGAAGAGATAGCATCAGTTGGTACTTGTGATGTAGCAGTTGTGCCTAAGATAACAATAAAATAAGTCTAAATTGAAAACAAGTTAGTTTTAGAGCACAAACAACAGATGTTTAAACCAAATGACCCATGTAGATCTATTATCAATTGCTGTGGTAAATGCATGCAATCTAATTAATATGTGTACGTATTTGAAGATCATGCATGTTTTTACTTAATAACTTTTTTCTCATTCCTGCTCCAAGTTCCTTTAGTTCTTCATTATTCACTTTTTTGCTTTCAAACACATCACATATCTTCTGTAAACATTGGGCAGACTTGTCATTATCATCTACATCTATTTTTTCAAAAAGACACATAGCTAGGGCATCTCCTCTCTTATTATCATCAGTATTAGATTGTGTTTTTATTCCAGCAATCTCTCCTGGAGTAATCAGCTTTTTTGAAAAGAGATTACCAGTAACATTAGTGAAGTTTGGTTCTTTTCCAATCAATGGAAAAATGTCACCATACTTCTCCTGAAAGATGTCAGCTGGAGTTTCACCTGTGCACATTAAAAAGTAGATTAATCTTAATATCAACTGAATTCTATTAGCAACTAATCTAAAGCACTTACTTTGTGAAGTAGCCATATTGCAACTAATAAAGAATAGAAGAACACAAGAAGAGCTGAGGTCAAATGATGACAAATCAGGAACTGGGATTGGCATTAGCCCAGGAATCAGTTGGCATTTCCTGTTTAGTCTAATGAACTCCTAATCACTATCACTTTAATCACTATTCACATGTATTATTTAATTGTAAAAGGCTTTCAGCTACTTTTCTAGCATCTGCAGCAGCATAGTCTCCTGACTCCATCATAGTATCTACTAAAATCTGCCATATGTTTTACCTGTTTAGTTCATGCTAATATCAAATGTAAATATAAAGGCTGGTTTTTATATAATTGTGAATTCTGACCATTCATTACGACTGTTTTTAAATCAAGGCTTTTTCTCAATTGCTGCAACAATGTTGTAAAGCTGTAGCATATAGCAGTAATGGGTGTAGCAGACATAGTCCTACTGTTACCATACAAATTCATCAAGAGGGAGTATCTGTGGCGGGTTGTTTTTAGCTACTGAGGGAGTATCGATAATTGACAGTAGTAGTAGATAATAATTTTATGTACATTACACTGCTGTATAGTTATACATTAATACTAGTGATACTGTACTATCACTAGTATGCATATTGAGGTTGATTATTTATTAATATATTTATTCAGCCATAAACAGCTCCTGGAATGGCACATATGTACATTGCTATGTGGGTTTCCAATATGGATGCACTGCCACTGCAGGGTAAACCCATTGGTTATGTATATAGTGTGTGAAACTAGGGCATCAAAGGCTGAGATAATAATCTTAAGCCTCACCTAATGTATAGAGTGGTATTTGCATATTGATAAATGGGCCAGGTCACTGAGATTATAGGACTGATGATAGCTAAATTAGTAAGCTTATAGTAGCTGTGAGTAACTTGAGCCCTGCCAGGTAGGCCTGACCATAGTAGGACTTACTCACAGTTGCTATACTAATATGGTTATCACTTTCTTTTGTTGTACTAGGAATATGAAAGCTTAGAATGTATTTATTTATGTTGCAAAGAGTTTTGTATTTTAAGCAGGCACATGGTCCATATCAAATGGAAACTGGGATTTTAACAATTGTAAGAAATACTCACAGTACAGTAGTACATGGTAACATAGATATAATACACAGACCTGTGTGTATTACAGTCTGTGCATCATATATATGATGGTAAGTACTACAATAAAACTTTAACTGGTGTGATCTTTTGAATTATCAAAGAATGTCAATGTCATCATGGCCAGCAATTTATAGTGATGAGTTTAAATATGAGAATTTGAGGAGCCCTTTTTTAAATAGATGCAATGCATGCATGAGCCTTAATTGATTAATTAATTAACTATTAGGCCCGCCCATCTCAATACTCCACCCATTTATTTTCAGGACAAAATATTTTTTAAAATGTATTCCATACTCTCGCTTCTCTCTCCTCTCTCCTTGTTGATGTTCCTCCCATGGACTAATGGAGTGGAGGGACAGTCTAAGGAGAGTCTAGAGGAAGAGGAAGATGAGCTGGTACCTCTGGTAATCTGGTACCTCTCTCTTACCTCATCTTCTCTGAGTCCTCTTTGTGTAGCAGACCAGGAGTGGTCAGGAGTCAGTCACTGGGTCGTGGCACTACCAAAATCGTACAATTTAACAGACCCCTTGGGCTCCATTGCAGTTTAAGTCCTACTTTAATTAATTATTAAAAGTCAATTAATGATGTCATCATCACCCCTTGTCTGTGAGCAATAAATTCTCAACCTGTAAAAAATAATAATATGTACATGTACATAATAATAAAGTCACACCCACTTTAATATCCCTGTGTATGATGGGCGGGGTCTGAGAGTGCATGTGGGCTATTGCTTGACAGGTTTCATAAAAAACCCTCAGGACTTGACGAGGACTTAAAGACCGAGTGTTAACAATATCGACAAGCTCACCACCTGCCAAGAAAAAACAATAATAATATACACGTACATGTACATGTACATGTAGCAACAACAAGTGAAAGTAAGAGAAATAATAATTTATGTATTAGAAAATGTAATAAAAATTGGAAGTGATTTCAAAGCCATTTTTCAGGAAAAACAATGGGCTATAGCATATGGTTGTTAGCCAAACTTTGCCAAAATTGAAAAGGAGAGAATTCTCTGTTTTTATAACTTTTCCTGATACATATAATACATGTTCTTTTGATGTGTAGAAAATTTGAGCTAATTCTGATCAAAATTGGATTTTTTTACAAACTTTCAAAGTTGCTCCATAATAAAACAACAATAACAATAAAATTGTTTTTATTCATACCGGTAATAAGTTCAGTGACAATAAGGAACTCTGCACTCCCTCCAGCTGGATCCTTAGAACTAGCGGCACCAATGAAATTAATTATATGAGGATGACCAGACAATTGAGTCTAAAAGAGAGAGAGAGAGAGAGAGAGAGAGAGTTTAAAAGTACACGTACATGTATGTACATTTATTTAATTCATTAACTTACTAAAAATGTTATTTCTTGCTTGATTGCTTTAATGTTTTCCGAAGCTACTATCTGCCTCTAAAAGTGTTGAAAAAGAATTTAAAATTTTTGAAGGTATGCAACTCATTATAATGTACATGTACATGTACTGTATAGACCTCTTCAGGTGAGATTGACGGTGGCCTATGAATATCATTACTGTTCATTACGGTATCCACCTACGGTGATAATTGGCCGCCATTTTGGACGGCAAGATTCAATGGAGGATGAATGAAGAAAAGGCAAAACTGATTCTTTTTGTTGGCATGGAGCTTTTTCAAGCTACAAAAGCTGGTTGGAGGAAAGAATGGTCACTGCTAAGCATCTCCTAAAAGAGATTTGGTGCAATATGAAGTATATTCTTTAATAGAGCTTGCTTTCTGCATTAGCCCATTCATACTCCATAGAAAGTTGCCATCCACGAAAATTATTTCAGAGTCAGCCAGGCTCAGTCACGCCCCTTGCCGTATATCATTCTTTGACGTAATTCATTCTCACCCAAAGAGGTCTATATACAAGTGTAGTAATTTGTAGTTAACCGTTACCTTTAGTGCGTAGTCAATTCCAGTGCTTGTATCTTGAGCAACAAATACAAACCCATAGCCACCTGGAAAGGGAGAGAGGAGTGAAGGAGAGAGAGGGAGAGAGAAGAGGGTCTACCTTTAGCTATAACTTTTTTGACTTTCAAGTTTCATTCCATCTCCAATGTCAACGGTTTGTCCAACGAAAGCGTTTCCACCGCCACTGCCTCCTCCTACGTCTCCCTCACCACTGAGGTAACTCATTGCTGAACGGAAGAAATCAACCATCTTTGAAAGAAAGAGAAGACAGACAGGACAGGTAAGGGAGGTCCCCAGTTTTTTATGGAGTACGCCCGGCGCCCAATGTTAGGGACCACGCGCGCCCAAAAATGACCACGCCTTAAATTAAATTAAATTAATTTTGGAAAATAGCAGATTACATTGTAAGAACTAAGAAATTTTATTAATATTATTCATTTAATTATTTATGTAGGATTATAAAAGCTTTTCACTATTACATTAAGGAAAGATGTATAAGGCAATAAATGGTATGATCATAATAAAGTAATGACCACATCAGAAGGAGCTGCCGAGACAATGACCATGTGCAACATTTCCTAAGGTTAGATCTACTGTACATGTACAAATTTACATATTTTGTGGTTTTGTGATGTACAAAATAAATAATGAAACTGACAAGGCCAGAGTCTTGTGTAGCCAGCCTTTGTGTGGGTATAGACTATTGGGTAGACACTAGACAGGCTCAAATATCTTCCTCATTTTATGTTGATTTACCTGTGGTTTTATTCTTAACACTATAAAACTTAACATGTACTCCACTCTTAAACTGTAATGTTATAGAGTTCTTTCAGTTTTTGAGGTATTTTTTCAGCAGCTGCACGATTCCCTGTTCCCCTCACTGCATCTATCAAAGTCTGCCATGTTCTAATTTTTGCTTTATCTTCACCATCTAGCCATGCTTCTATAGTCTTCCTCAAGTGCTTGTATGCATTGCCACCACTTTCTGCAATGACATTGAGTTTTGGCTGATACAGACCTAACCGAAGCCCCAAGTCATTCCATTTTGCTGCACCAAAGAATACTTTATCTAGCACTATAAGTATTTTATCAACATCCTCTGCATCTATAAACATTATTAATACAGGGTAGATTATTATTGTACCTATCATGGTATAGTCTTACCTAGTTGTCTGGCTTTATCTGGAGTACTACCATGATGAGACTGCTCTGTTAAAGATATAGAAGTGCCATTATCTGTATTAAAGAATTTTTGAAGATTAAATGTACTTGGTACAAAATCAAATTCATTTTGCTCAATATACATGTGCGTGCATGCATGTACATGTACATGTACATCCACTTACTTTTTTCCAGTTTGATAGTCACACCAATAATAACAGCCAAAGCAATAGCCACCAAAGCAAAACCCCACATCCTGATTAAACAAAACGAGTGAGTGTTAGTAGAATTGGAGCTGCTATCTTGCTTCAGGTGTTTAGTTTCACAGCATTTCAGGTTTCCTAATGAAAAAATTTATATAAGCATAGTCAAAAAAGTTTTCGATAGCCATGCACCAAGTAGTCAATCGGTTCACATTCTAATTACAGAGAAGGCCTATTGCTTTATTGTGTCAAGAAAAATGTTCATTTTAGGAAGGATGACAGACTTTACTGCTAATTAAGATCATTTGCAAGTGTTGTATAGCTCATGGTATTTTTTTAATTGGCACATTTTAAACTTTTTGATGTGAATACTCCTTGCTCAAACAATATGCGCAAAGTTAAAATAAAGTTATTAATTTTTAATCAATTAATTTAAAATTAAATTCACACAAAAATCACTCCATTTCTAGTATGTTTATTTTAAAACCTAACAAAGCAATGAAGTCTCAAAATATTTTATTAATTATTAATCAGAATCACAAACGACTTGCTTTGTTTCTAGCACAGTTTTTACATAACAAGCAGCAGCTTGGGCTGCAAATGGCTTCCATCTTTCGGTGGCTTTCTTATCACCATCACCCCAGTCACCAATACCCTTGATGACAATGGCCTCAACTTTATTTTTGGCATATTCAGTGGCAGCTGTTAATCCAGCACCTTCCATTTCTCCTGCTTTAGCATCTTTCCTGATGTCCTTGTATTCCCCCTTGAGTTCATTGTTATCAATAAGAGACGGTGTGCATATGTATACACCCTTGTCAGCAATGATACCCTCAGGTAATTTTGATTTGATCTCATCACTTGGTATAAACATGTTGCTAATACTGTTTCCTACGTTAGTTTGAGCACCTCGTTGAAAGTTTGTTAGCTCGGTTTTGCCTTCGCGTTTATTTGTGAAATCACAGAGAATGGTTGAGACAATAACTTGTCCTAGTTTTTGTTTATTTTTGTCCATCCCATAACAGACACCAACACCCACAATGTACTTAATATTCTCGAATTTCTCCAATATTTTTGTGATGACAATAGCAGCATGAACTGGGCCCTGCTTATGCTGCGGTGGTGCAGTCGTCACAACAACAACTGGATTATCTCCAAACTTTCCGACGTGTATGTTTGAAATATTGCGATCATAAATTGATGCACTGATGTAGTGATCACCTTCTATCGGCTCCAAGTAACGTAAGACTGCGTTTTCTTCGTCTAAAGTGGCAGGAGTAATGACAACTTTAATACTTTCAACAACGGGAGTAGGAATATCTTTAAAGTTGATTTCCTTGGATGGTTTGAATTTATCACCATTGTCAGGCAATTCTGGTGGGCTTTCACCTGGTAGGCAATAAAATCAATAATACTGATTTTTGTCTGTTGTATTGTGTGCCAAACTTTAAAGTAACACTAATAATTGTAGAAACTAATTCTATTGCTGATGCTATCATGCTACAATTGTACAAGTCAGTGCTGTTTTTATAATAAAATTTTTATTATTATACCTTCAGCAATTACACATACACTCATTATTCCCATCAATTGTGACAAAATTGTTTTAAAAGAGCTCTAATATCAATTTTTGAAGCTTCTTGAATTGTTTAATACGTATTTACCATATTACAGAAAGTTTTTTATTGCAAGTGTTTCGCTATTGTAATAATGTACTTTTTTCCACATCATGCATCAATTAAATAAATTTAAAGGAGATGATAGTGTGAAGCTTCTTGTTTTGCAAATAAAAATGTATTGTTGACATTAATATTGCAACCAACAAAAAGCCAGCATAAATAATCCTAAGCAGTCTATTGTTTATCATGATGATAAAGGGGAACACTATTAAGCTTATTCAGTCTAAAAACAGGGTATATGAACCATTATCACATGATTTAGCATGTAGATAGTAGGCAGAAATTAGCTTTCTGGAAATTAGAATCAAAAATTTGTTCAAAGCATGTCATGACCACATTTTGTCATACTGCATACTGTGTTAGGAATTAGTTACCTCCATCAGGCTCATCATGACCATTTTTTTCATCTTTTTGTTTTCCAGCTAAAATAGAGCACAAAATAAACAATTATAGTTGAAGTAGCTGCATGGTTACCTATCACTTACACATACTTTTAGCAGGTTTCTTTTCTTTTGCTGGATCTAAAATTTAAAAAATGAACTATAAAATTTTTTATTTTGATCTACTATTAAATTTATTCTATGATTAAACTAATCTTTACTATTACTATTACCCTTTGTTTGCTCCTTCTTATCACCATTTTCTTCAGATATTGCTGTTTCTATATAGTAGTGTATGCAGAAGTTATTAATACTATGGTATCAATATAGGTGCAGTCATTTGCCAATATTAGAATTGTACCTTTGACTAAGCTGAGATAGCATGCATCCATGTGATTACATTGACACTTTTGTATGTTGTTGTTTTATAGCCTATTAGGCTTTCATTAAAAATGAAACCCTTTCAATATTTTTTATGCGGCATAAACAAAGCGGTACAGTTGTGCAGTTAGCATAATAACTTTTTATAAAATTATTGATCAAGAATAGTTTCTAAATGTTTTGCTAGCTATAGATCTACTAGCAGTTTGTTACATAATTCTGTACTAAGCTATAACTGCTAACAAGTTTCACTCACCCAACTTTTCCACTACATGTACATTAGTAATATTTGTCTCTCCAACATCTTTTAATACTGTACAAGCTTTATTTAAAAATGCCTTAGGATCATCATCATTATCACTAGCTCATTTACTATCTTCTTTGAGCATTAGCGGCAGTGCTACTTGTTGCTTCAGTATTTGTATCAAGTGCTATTAGCACAAAGCTTGTGTGCTATACACCATGCAATTGAAAAGATGGCAATGCTAGTTTGTGAGAGAACTCTTTAATTTTCTTGAGTAAACAAGCTGTTGTTTCAATAGCTAGTATATATAAGACTATAAGTTACAAAAAATTTTAACACATCTAGCTCCTTTTACTAGTTTCAGTTTGCAGTGAGCCTTATTTACCTGTCATTTTAGTAGTTTCCTTTCCCATCAAATTTAAAGCTAGCCTTAAAAATGGAATGTAGATTTACTTGTATATTACACATATCAATTAATGTTTAACAATAATTCATATATGCATATACATGACATGCATGCATGCACTGACTCTGCTTTAACATGAGTATAATCCAGTAAATGACAAATAAAATTGCTACCATGCAGTTACAAATTGTTACTCATGCATTATTTTAAATTACAATCTATAGATTGCCATAAATAATGATGATGATGTTATTATGAAATTATTATGTTATACACTCACCTAAGTCATCAACTACATCTGCTGTGCCAGGCATGTTTCTCAAAGCAGCAATTAATGAATTATAAGTTGATTCCTTAACATTATCAACTTTATTCAACCACTTTGTAAGGCATTGTTCAAAACAATTCTCAACATTGCCTTTTTCACTAGTTTCAATTTTTTTCAGTGTATTTGGATGGAGTCCAAGCTCTCTTCCTAAATCCTTCCAAGTAGTTTCGTCAAACTGTGCTTTCTTTAAATTTTTTATCACATC